TTCCAGAATATAAAGACAGTCTAGTGTTTTTATCAGACGTATAGACTATCTCTTCATATATCCTACAATAAAAAAATATATCTATTTATAATAAATTAATAAAAAAAGAGAAAAAGAAAAACTATAATGAAATAAACTTGTATCCAGATCAGGTGATATTGTGAAATTAGTTGTATTTCTGTATATATATAATACTTAGATTTGTTTAGTTTCTACTTCCCGCCAGAATTTCGCGCGCCATTTTGATCAGGCACGGTACATCAAAGGGCAAGTACAATATTCATAATGACTTTGAAAACACTATAAAGCTACAATGTGTAATATCAAAATACCTGTGCACTAATAGACTAAGAGTTCAAAAGAAACCAAAGGCAATATAGAATAGCTCATAATTCATGACTAGCTAACGCTAAATGCAAAGGCTTGTGTATTCATTGATTTAATCTGTCATTGGTATGGTGGAAACCCGGGGGCAGGGGGGATGGGGGGACTCCGGGAAAAAAGTACCGGGGATGCTCGTCGTATCTCTTAGGGRTWAAAATTCGCGATTTGGTATCTTTTAGGGATGAGGGCAAAACAATTGTCATCTCACGGTACCCGATTTAGGGGGAGGGGTGGTGTTACCCGGTAGCCACCACCTCTGGMAGGGAAATCTTAGATTTTGTCCCCAAATATCTCGAAAACTAAAAGCCAAATCGACACACAAATGAATGGACTGTCTGTCGGCATGTATGCTAAAAAACATATTTGTGTACTGAAATTGCCACTACAGACCCCCAGTATCGAGCATTTGAACAGGTCTCTGAGAGGGAAGGGGTATATATCGGTACACTTCACCTTAATTCATAAAATCGGGTCCCTATTTTGGACCATTGTTTTGACCTCGCCCCTTAGGGTGTTAAATGCGAATTTTTGAAAATCAGTATTTTCTGGTATCTCTTAGGGTGTCGGAAAAGGAGAGAAGGGCGCATCGATATGGCTTATTCTTTAATATTACTTCTTGTGGTATCTCTTAGGGGTTAAAAATCATTCATCCACGCCCTTTTTAAAGACTTCCGGTATATCTTTCAAGGGTCTTTTTGAAAATTTCCGACAAGCATCCCCGGTACTTTTTTCCCGGAGTCCCCCCTCCCCTCCCCGGGGGGTAGGAAACTGATTGCGGAAAGTAAATACTAACGAGATTAAACCAACGCCTGCACAGGGTAGTGATTGACATATGATAACACTTATGAATGGTCCCCATTGAGAATTTTTTACCCTACTTGTTTCAGTATTATTGTGGTTAGCTACACTATGACAAATAAATTAAATATAGAGGCAGGCAATAGATAAACAATATACAGCAACCATAAATACTCTTCATGCCTACTAGCAGCACTTTACTTGCAGTATGCAACGAGTTATAAAGTAAGTTGTAAGATGAGATATTGGGCTTCCTGCGTAAGCCATATATGGTAATGCTTCGCGCATGCACAGACACTGGTTTCATGCCATGTTCGAAAAGTTCATATTGTACTCATATTGTAGTTTTAGTTAGTTAAAGTATTGGACTCGATCAAAATAAGACAACAATCATGTAGAATTAGCAAAGAACAACCGAGATTGTCGCTGGACAAATGTAAGTCAAAACTGTTATGATTTCATTGAGGATAAGATCTGAATTTGATGTTTATGTATGAGAATAATAAGTTTGTTGTACTAGCTTCAGATTGTATACTGAACCCAGCATCAATCTCGTCGTCGTGGCTTCCCCAAAAACCTGTCGTAACATGAGTTACTTCTCTCTGATTTTAACTGTATCAAATTTTACGGTGGCCCACAAGGGCAATACAAAAATATCAAACACAGTACAAACATATTATGCATGAGTCATTTTAAAGCCCCGCACCCCCCTTCTCCCGGGGGCATTACCGGGGCATTCACATTTTGGTCCAGTGAAAACCAGTGAACACCTTGGACTCTGGGGGCAATGTAATAGGTGAATGCCCTGGTCCCCGAGGAAACAGTTTAATAGATGTGAATGTCCCTGCCCTTGAATTTACAGTGATTTACTCAATATACGATGAAGAAAGAGAATTTATTTTATAAATCTCATAGGCCATTTTAACACAAGACCAAAATAGTACACAACTTGTTGTGGCATCGTACTGCTTTATGCGAGAAAAACGGATACTCGTGATGAACTCAAACTTGGTTGTTTACTTGTAATATTCCGGGTTGTTTACATTAATACTTCTCTGCATTCATCTGCGATTTATATACACTACAATAACAGCTCATCTACAGTTCTGAAACATTTACAATCACTTTACAATATATTTGCTACGAACATAAGGAAATTAAACGCTAATTCTCTGCATACCTCGTGGTAAATTGTCCAACACAATCTGAATGATGCCCGGAATGAAAACTTTTAATGATATGCATACAGTGGTATACCGCTGACCGTGAATAGATAAACGGATCTTACACTTGTAAGTATTGCGATGTAATCTTACACTTGCAGCAACATGTTCACTTGTATTCATATATTCATCAATGGCATATCAGTTGGTTTGGTGATGATGAAATTGAGTAAATACGGTAACTGGGTAATTTGTCATTGTCACTGTTATTCTAAAAGCTGCCAAACTCTGGATATCATCATGTAAATGTTGGGCAAAAGTACTAATTATATATGACTGCCATTCTGCAAGTCTTTTTCTTCTTTCTTTTCTGCTTGCAATCTGAAAAAGATGTAAAAGCATAATATTGTTGTTTGTTGCCGTGGTTTGGTACCAAAGTATTTTGCTACATAAAAAACAACAATCAATAGATTGAAGCCTAAATCTTCGCGGTATGTTTTTATAAAAAACCTGATTGACAAGACTGAAGTTAAACTTGTAAAGGATATTTTAACTATAGCAAAATTTACTCACCTTTTATCACCAACTCCTGGAAGGTCTCGGCGATCACTGCCTTCTTTGTTTTTAAATACTATCTTATTACAAAGCATAGCAAATTAAGCAAGTACAAGTACAGAAGAACGATTGCAATGGCGCGATAAAAATTCATAACCGCTGACCAGAAGTAAAAAATTAACTGCTGACCAGATATGACTCTGTGATGCAAAGCAGTGAAAAGAAGTGTATCTCCCACCTACCAGAGAGCTCAAATACAGTGAATTCCTCACGAAAGCCCTGGTCTGGCCCCGGTAATGCCCTAGGGGGGGG